TCGCTCATTATTTTTCATTTTTTTTAATTCACGTTTTTTTTAATTTACTATTCTTATTATTATAATCATTGAATCGGCAAATAAGTCTATTTTACATATCCATGATATCTATGGCAGATTTTATGTACTATTATATATATTAATCAACTCACAAGCAATGATGTTCATTAATCTTCAAAATTATAACTTTACCGATTTTTCAAAAAAAAAAAACTCTCGAAAATCTGACATCTGTTATTGTGCATTGGTAAAGTCTTTAATGGTGGATTGTCTGTAATTGAGGGGTGTCTGTAATGAGAGGGTGTCTATAATAAGGGGGTGCCTGTAATGAGGAGGTGTCTGTAATGAAGGGGTGTCTGTAATTGGGGCCTCGTTGCTATGATCTGTAATGTTCTCTTTCTCCGTTGCTAAGTGTCTGTAAGGGAGGGGGTGGGGAGCCGCCAAACCTCGAACTTAAAACTTACACTCACTATTTTCTTCGAAAACATACGTGAGTTCCACAAAATGCATGCGTCATTGTTGTAAGTAAAATAAACACAAACACATTTCTTTATGTATATAGATGAGCGCTCAGACGGCCTTCGGCCGCCTTCGCTATCAATTATTTTAATTTTTTGGAATGCTGTAATCCTATTGGTCAGTTTTCTAGATTGCCTGTAGCATGCGTAGGATTCGTTTTTTTTTCGGAAAAAAATACATGTCGACCTTCCCCTAGGTGTAAAGACCATTTCTGGAAAGTTTCATAGCATTTGCTCGTACCGTGTCCAAATGCATGAAGAACAAACAGACAAACATTCTTCTTTATATATATAGATAATTGATTTATTTTACTAAAATGTATATCCAATCATAATTTGATTTTTAATTTAAGGTTATTTCACATTGCGCAAAGTGCAACACTGACACCACATCTCTAATTTAAACAAATGATTTCTATTCTTTATTTTTTATTATTTTTAGTAAACAGATATCTATAATTTTTTACTATGGTTTTATTTATTCTCTGAATTATCAATGAGAAAATTAAACTTCATACTAAAAGATTTTCTAATATACAAAAATTATTGATAATTCAAATCGTATTAATTTTATATGATGAACAAATCAAATTCTCATTTGAACTAGTTTGATCTGTTATTTATGCTTAGTCATAAATAGCGAATACGTCTCTATTAATGGCATTCATCAAGACATATGGAAGAAAAATAATATTCATTGGACTTTGCTAGGAAAGATTTGCACCTTGGATAGATTAATAACATCAATGATGCAAAGGATGTATACTTACACCAGCAGCAGCTAAGAATTTTTGTCGAAGTTCTGGATCAGGATTGTACAGGGTCTGTAAAAATGTTTTTCCAGGGGATAATGCTGTGATTTTAAATAGAGTCAATAGCAAATTTTATACCAAATAAAAGCACGTCAAAATGGGATTTATCAGTATTAAATAGTAAGGGTTCTGTCAATCTGTTTATATCAAACATAAATTTCTAAGAATTTTCGCTACTTTAGTATGAAAAAATTTCTTTCATGAGACAGTTCAAAAACTAAATTTGATTCAAAATGATGGTTTTCTACGAAGTAATGCTGCAAAAATTTCTAGAAATTTGTTATGTTTGATATAAGATATTTACCATGGTATACGAATCTATGTAACTTCACGAACATTAATAGCTTTTTATAAGAAATGCGAGGTATTTATATTTGATGAATCAGAAGAAAAAAAGAGTCCACTACTTCCTTCTCCCTTTTCAAACTGCGTAATATGATATGTCAGACGAGATAATTGAAAAAGTCGACACCGAGTGCATTTAATTTCACTGAAATCTTTGTGGTTTATTTAATCCTCTATCTATGATAGGGTCTAAAGGAACATAGTGCTGATTACAAGTAACTTTTTTATGAAAAAAGAAAGGAATTAAAGCAAAATACAAACATATAGCAACGTAAAACAATGAGCACAGATAACATGAGTCGAACGAGTTTGGTATGCAAGCAGAATGTATAGAACATCGGTGCACAAATAGCTTGAAACGTGTAGAACATCGGTGCACAAATAGCTTGAAACGTGTAGAACAGAGCAGAATTATATAAACATTGTGCTATGGGAGGAAAGACTCGAACTTGATACTACTTCTCGAGACACGAACGTGTTGCCATTGTCCTTTAGTGTCTTCAATTTTACTTTTCAACTATGCAAGCGAAAGTTAACGAAAATGATCAGAAGCGATGCGAACGAGTGGAAAAAAAAGATAAAAGACTGCAAGATAAGAAATATAAGGAAAGACACGACGTGTAATTGATGAAGATAGGAAGAAAATAATCATTCATTCACTAGCAGAATGTAATGTTAAATAGATTCACCTTTAAGAAAAAATGTCTAAGAAATTATTACACTGTTATGCTCTTATCCAATGCAAACTTTCTGTAAATCTATGTATTATAATCGGTGGATGTCAAAGTATTCAAACGTAAATTGTAATCAATGGAAATCAATATCGTTGTGATAGTGTTCTACGGAGTATCGATGTCCCAGTGACTATGAATGTACAGTGTCAGTAAAACTGATATCAGTGTGCCAGTGAACAGTTTACTGAAACTACACATCCCTAATGGTGCTGCTTACGTGGTGAATGAAGAAATTCACGGATGTATGTTCGAATTTTTGAATTATTACCTGTAGTTAGGCCTTTTACAAGTTGTTCTATTCGATCTGGGTGACTTCAGTTGAACGAAAAATATATGAAAACAATTGGAAAGCAAAAAATGTTAATCATTTCGTTTGAAGAACCAAGCAAAAGGCAAAAAAACTTGATCAAGAAATGTTGCATGTCATGATGGAGGATGTTTGAAAGAAGTTTCGAGCTATCTGGTGAGACAGACTGTATTTAGTTCTTTAAATACAGTTTTTTGTAGCACTTGTCATGTACATTCTAGTAAACCAAAAATTAGCTTTTCATCTTCTAAATCAGCTGTGTAGCTTAACATTTTTCCAAAGACTTTTGCATCGCTTATTAGTTTTTATTTGCATTTCAACAGATAAAAAAAAATAAAAAAACAATTCTTAGGAAGATCTACGAAAAGCCATTGTAATTTCTTCAAAAGTACGTTTTTTTGTTTCAGGCATATATTTCCATAGAAATAAAAAGGCCAATGTAGTAAGTACAACAAATGGAACAAACGAATAATCAGATATTTTATCATGTTCCTAAATAGAAAACAATTGTAAAAAGATTTTGAGGACAAAAAAAGAACAAATGTAATTTACTGCTAATAGTGGAAATAGAAGTCCAACAATAAAATTTGACATCCAATTAACTACTACAGCGACACTTGTCGCTGCTGGACGAGCACCTTGTGTAAAGATTTCTGGAAGAATAACCCACGGAACAGAGCCAGGTCCAATAGAAAAGAATACAACAAATATGTAAACAAATGCAATCGAAAGAAATTTCAACCACGCTACATAATGCTAAAACAAAAACAATTATTAAAGAATAATCTTTCCGAATAGATGTACCGTTAAAATAAAAGTAATTGTCAGTAAAACACTACATAACCATGTGCCGAAAAGACCGATAAGATGAAGTGTTCGTCGACCAGCCCGATCCATCAATGTGCCAGATAATAACGTAATAAGTACAAGTATAACACCAACACCAATTGTTGCATATGGACCAACCTTACCAAGATCTGCATGTTTAAATAAAGCAGTTGAATAGTACATAATAGCATTTATACCACAAAATCGCATAGAGAAATGAACAACAATAGCTACAGCAATAGGTAATCTAAAGATTAAGCAAGTCAATATTATTGATATTTAAAAAAAACAAATCTATACCGAAATACTTCGCGAGTAAATAATTCTTTTATTGTCACATGAGATTCACCTCTTAAATGTTCAGCTTCTTGTTTCATTTCATTTATTTCATCATCTACATTAAATCGTTCCCTTAATGCACTCAATGATTGTCGAGCACCATGTTCATCACCACGATTCATTAATAAAAATCGTGGACTTTCATAACAAAATTGAAGAAGTAGAAATTGCGTTACACTTGGAACAGCTGCTATGACCATAATTAAAGGCCAACGTGAATCTGTTCCAAGTATAGCAGGTGTTGAAAACATTTCAGCCCACATAAGACCAAAATAAGCCGAAAAACCAGACAATGATCCAATCATACCTCGAATACGTTTAGGACTTAATTCACTTAAATACATTGTACATAGACCAGTATATAAACCACATTCAATTCCAATTATTAAACGACCAATAATAAGTAATTCGGGTGAATGAACAAATTTTGATGTAGCTAAATATACATATATATATTTTCTTGTGCTTAAAATACACTATACACTATACTTTTTCGATTATTTTTCCATACTATTGCGATTCGGTCCAATTTTTATATCACAAATATATGTTCGATTACTCAACTTATCTTGAAAATTCCAGCCCTATACAGTGAGAATTGGTGAAGAAAACTACCAATATATATCAAGTACTCATATACTATTGAAACCAAATTTTGGTATTTTATTGATTTCTCAGTGGTTTTATATTTTATTTGAGATTTCGGTTGATAGTTAGTTATGTCTTGGACATATCTTTACAAAGATAAATCTTAAGATTTATTTTTGTAAAAACATGTCCAAGACATAACTAACTATCAACCGAAATCTCAAATAAAATATAAAGCCACTAAGATTTCAATAACATACCAAAATTTGGTTTCAATAGCATACGAGTTCTTGATATATATTGGTAGTTTTCTTCACCAATTCTCACTGTATAGGGCTGAAACTTTCAAGATAAGTTGAATAATCGAGCATATATTTGTGATATAAAAATTGGACCGAACCGCAATAGTATGGAAAAACAATCGAAAAAATATAGTGTATAATTTATTGTGACCAGGGCGATATATAATTTGACTAAACAAAAACAAATTTACACTAACACATAAGTGTTGCTGCTATTATTCCAAGTAAATTTGCTTTAAGAAGACCACCTCGTCTACCATATCGACGACTGATAAAACTTGCTGCAAAAGCACCTATTGCGCCACCAATAGCAAAGATTGCTACAGTAGTACTCCATATAAGAGTAAGTGTATTTTTTGAAAGTGTATATCCTGTTCGATGATAATATGACTCAACGATCCATGATCTAATCGGTTCTTGTGCATTATTCAGACAACCTGTATTCCAACCAAATGAAACTACACCTGAACCAGTGGCAAGTCCTGTAAGAATTAATTGTTTAGTTAGTATCTATTGATGATAAATATTTTTATAAAATTCATATAATAATAGTTTTATAGTTAAGTTACTTTAGTTTCTGTCATGGATACAATATTCAAATGTAACAAAAACAAGATTCAGTGTAAAATATTTGTAATGTCAGCATGTTAGAGTTAAAATAGAGATAAGATAACTATAACAAAGTACATGATGATAATGCAAATGAAACTATATTGTGTTATTTCAAGTGTTCTGACGTTGTGTTTTTCAAAATAACTTAAGTTAGAATATCATTGTCAAACAAAACAGAAGTTTTCGTCATAATTGAATTGATCTTCAATGTATTCTCGTCCATCTTTTTTTTTTTGACTAAAAACTCAATTTCGAGCTGGACATAAGATTTGATAATCTTAAGTGCTATGTGCAAGTAAAGACATCATTCGACTCTAAACAGTTTACTGTTGCTGAGTTACTAAATTTAAGAATTTTTTTTCATAGTAATCATTCTGAAATTCTTTTCCTTTACTTAATGACACGCAAAATACCAGTTTTCTCAATCTTGACTGCTTACGAATTCGCTCTGACTTTGTCCAATAGGACTGAGATGTTTACCATAGATACTTGGAAGTATTTTCCAGAGGTAGAACCGGCCATTTTCGTTTTTGACTTTCCTATACAGGCTTATAAGGTTCCAAAAGTCAATACCCTGGTTTTGGCTCCGAACTTATACATATTGCTCTCATAAAAAAAATATTTTCGAAAATGCTCAAAAATACCATTGAGATATAATCTGAGGTATTTCCAAAACAAATTTCAGTAGCATCCGATTCAGTTCAATGGGAATCATAATGTATCAGGATTGCACTCCTATAGGACACTAGGGTTCTACCGAAAACTCTACCATGAAAATTTTTTCCTTAAACAGATGTCTCCTTATTCCAGGTGTTCTATCTGTGGTAAAAGTTTCTATCTGATCAGCTATACCCTCTGCAAGAATCCGAAATGGTCAAAAAAATAGGAAAAGTGTACCTTTAAATAATTACTGATGGAAATAGAAAGAAGAGAGTACTGATAGACAACAAGTATATCAAGAATAGAGATGTAACGAATCAATTTTAGTGGTGATCTCGGTGATCAGGACCATAAAAACTTAGTCCTGCACATCTCTAATCAAGAATAACAAGGAACGATACAAGAAATGACTAGATACGTCCACATTTCCGACATTGCCAACACATTAGAAGGTGATATCTGAGGATATTTTTGAATAACTGATTCATAAGTAAAACTTTTCTGTGAAATTTCGAAAACCATTCGGAAATTACCATAAATTCTTAAAGTTTTGCGAGTGAACTACTATATTTTATAGACTAATAACTTCATTTATCCATATGAATGTTAAAGAGATCTCCGTAATTTTCTTCGAATTTCTTTCTTATGAATTAATAAGTACAGAATTTTGCTAGAAATTACTTTCTCATGTATTAGTAATTTCGAAAATTTCTTTTTCATGACAATATGAATACTGTTGAACTAACTACATAAAATTGAAATAAAACGATGACATTTATACTGTGTTTTAGGATAATTAGTTTTAGTGGTTTGTATTATTTAATTGTTTCTGTAGTTGAACGCTTATGATGACAAGATTTAGCTTAAAATCTAAATCACATCTAGTATTGTTAACTGAATTTTTGACAATTTTTTTTATTTTATAAAGTCTATGAAAGTTCTAGTCGTAATTATAAATATTTTAAAACTAATATCACCGTTAAATATTCTTTGAATGTTCTCTAGTTTTTATTTTGAATAACTGATTATGAACTAACAATCTTTTAAATATTTCATATAGTTAATTATCATAAAATCATGTAGCAAACACACGGACATTCAATTTACTATTAATTGTTCAAGTTATTTCAACATTTGTTCGAGATATTGAATTTTTTTTTGTTTTTTTTTTAAGTAAAAGTCAAGATGACTTTTACAACAATATATACACTTTTAAGGATAATAAGCAGTATTACTATAAAAAAGATCAATGTCATTTTGTAAAACCTTCAAGCAAATTCTCTTCAGTAGATTTATTATTAAAACTTAATATTTCTTCGTTATTTTCAATAGCACTATGAGATATCTTTCTTTCTTGATATATCTAGAAAAGTAGCCGAAAAACATGAATCAATGAACATAAAGCATGTCTTTGCACAAAAAATGACTGATAAGTGTAATGAGTTTTTTAATGTATATCATGAACTTCTTATCTATCGAGCACGTTTTTCTATTTGTTATGATATATGGATAAGGCAAAAATGATAATATATATTTGCAAGTTTATATCTAATAAAACTATGGTAGAAAAGTGATGTTTCATTATTGTAATATTGCACTTTTCGAACTTATTAGGGGAAAAAACACATCACTTGTACTCCAATCACTTTCAATCAAGAGGACAACATTTTATTCTTTATGATGAAATGCAGTTCAACTTTCTATCATCAATCAAATATTTATTTCGATGACGTCATAACTATGATTAGTCGTCAATAAAATGAGTTATTACGTCAAAAAATAATGTCACTCTTATATCATTATTATTATTTTTTAAGATGGTTAACTTCATGAAGTGTAGCATCTGATTTATTGTTTTTCAGCC